TCGACCGGATCAAGATCCAAGAACGTAGTATCTGGAACCCACCAGTAAAACAATACATTGACCTGTCGAGGCAGTGTCGACCATGATCTTGCAACCCCGATGGCGACAGGCATGTCATAGCTAGTAACCTTTTGCATCAAATCATCCAGACCCCAACCCGTGCCACCAGTAACGTACGGCACGCACCGAGTCGAGTCTTGGCGGCAGGTCGGAGAAGGCCAGAAGTAGTCGTCTGGACAAATGGCAGCAAGCGTGCCGTCAGGGAGCGTCTCGACACCTGCATCGTCACCTGCCGCTTCTCGCCAACATGCCTATGCCCCGAAACTACACAATGACACCAAGCCCGCTAGTGCACGGCTCTAGTGCGTGCCCTGCCCTTGTTCAGCACCCCACCTGTGATTCGCAGATAGTCGCGGTTTGCTTCTGTCGCCATGAAGCGAGTTTGTGCACAAGGCACGATCAAGCTACGGTTAATAGAAGCGAGGTCATCGAAGTACCTCGACGGCTGGCTCCCCGACACGCCCCATCCTCGGTAGAAGTCCAGCACAGAGCCCTCCCGGTACGCATTGCTCCGCACCGACTGCCGGATGAAAAATGAAGCGGTGCCATCGTAACCCATGCTGCCCACGTCCAAAGGAGCCATGGAGGCATATTGACTTTGGATGAGTTTCCACTCATTCGGATAGCCTTCCGTCCATGCCTCGAGATTGATATGGTTGTAGGTCACTGGTTGACCACATCCCCTGTCGCTGCTGTTACCAGGCGCCTTACAGCCAAGCAGCACTCAAAGTGTCAGGACCAGGACCCGTCGCCTCAGCGTGGAAGCCCATCCGTTCCTGGAGGCCGAGATGACAAAAAGAGGCCTAACTTCCTGATAAATCCGAAAGCGAAGCACTGTCCTCGATGATGATCTTCAGTAGGTGGGTCGTGAGGAAAGATGCATCCCAGGCAGCGATCCACATGCCAATGGGGTAGGACTCACCGTTGGCATTCGTCAAGTACTTCCGCTGGCTGATGTTAATGGCCTCTGGCAGGCACGAAGCGCCTGCCTGAGCTGGGAAGAGAACAGCCGCGAGCACCAACCGTGCCATCCCTGCCATGCTGGCGGACACCGACTTTCGAAACGACCGGGAACGAGCCTGCAAATCCTGTGATTTACCCTGTTGTTGTTGCGGACATCACGCTGATCACAGACGTCTACTGAGTACTGATCGACTATGGCATGACAAGTTCCGACAGCTTTTTCCGCCGCCACAGCAGGCTTCCCCACGTGCAACGATAGCCGATAGCTATTGCAGAAGACCTGAATGCTGGCAAAGAGGGGTTCTGAAGCTCTGCTCTTCACAATTGTATGTGCTTTGGGTGCTTCAGAACATACATCGGCAAGACTGCGGGGACATATCCGGGTCAAGCTGACGGGCAGGTGAGTGCAAGAATGGGCATGCCAGGCACAATACGCTGCATACACAAATTGAAAAACACTCATCGCATGAATCACTGGGTCTCGTGCGCGCGGGACCATGCCCATAAAGACCAGCGTGTGCAGTTAAACAAAGCTCCACATCACCCATACAAAGATCAGAACCTTCCCGTACATCATGTCATATCATACCGTACCATGCTGGACATGGCGTTCTTATTCCCCGTGCAGCTTGACATGTGTAAGCATGTGCGTGCCTGCCGGAAGTACCTACGCACGTGTATTGGCGTGTGTGTACGTCCATATCTTCCGGGACTGTACACACGAGCAAAGGAAAGTACCTCCAGTTAAGTTCTTCACAATTGCGAAAACAGCACCTAGATTCGGACCTAGATGTCTCGAGGAGGGAGCACGGGCAGGTCGAAGGCCAGTATTCAGGCCGCTGCGGTGAAGAGATGTGCTGCCCCTCAGCACAAGTCGCTTTTCCAAGCTGGCCCATCCAGGGTTTTTGACCTGGTGCTCTTTAGGGTGTTCTTTTCGACCGTATTATGGGGCTGTTGGGAATGTCGTGGCTGGCGAATCTCAAAGTCTGCAATACTATGTGCGAAGGTATCATGGGCTCAGAAATAGAGAAGCCAACACACAAGGCCATGCAGGAAGGCCTGCAGCAACGCAAGCAAACCGACTCGAAATCCCAAACTTCTTGTGAGAGGTCTCGTCACTGCCTCCGGGACACGGTCCGCATGTTGACATGCCTTGCCTGGCGGTCACAGAAGTGCCGTCTTTTCAACAAGCGGCAGCATTCCTAAACTGAATGCATGTTCCGGACATGTGCACATGCAACATGCCAAAAGCGCCCGCGAATTAACCCAAACAGCGTGATCCCTACAACCCCACAAAACTCTATGAACCCTCTAGGGATGGCATTGCCCGCGCCTGGTGCCTCTCTTCCATGGCGCGAAAGTTGCTGAAGCCAAGATGCGGACATCAGAGGCGGCAAAGTCATAGCGATAACTGCGATAACATCCATCATTCGGTGAGAGCTCACAACATCCAGTGCAGACTCTGAGCTTGGAGACACCACACATCAGCGGGTGCATTACACATCAGAAACGCAGTTCTCCAAGTAGACGCCCCGACTCCAGTGCAATGCGATTAACATGAAATGCACTGGTCTACTGGGGACGCTGAGGTAAAGAGGATCATGTATAAGGATTCCAGCTCATTTCCCGCTTGGCGAACTAGATGCCCGCTGTCACACTGGTCGGCCTACTCTAGGATCCAGAGCTTCTTGGGACACTTTGAAGGGGCAGTTCAATGGGACTTGGCAACTGGCTGTAGTTGAGCGTCTCTCGGAATAGAGCTGCAGTGAAGCCTGGCAATTCTAGAGTAGATGCTAACCAACACTTGCTTTAAGGTAGACACTTACTGAAAATTTAAATCCCGCGCAAGCCTAAGCACTGCTTGAAGGACCCTGAGCTTCAAGTTCCAGCGCTGTTAACTTTGCAAGAGGATCACAATGATTGTGACCGGCTTAGACAAGGACTTCCAACTGCAACTGGCACCTCAAGATGCGCTGGCACACCGAAATTGTCGCTTATTCGGCGACGGTCCTTACAAGACTTGGGGCGCCGCAACTGTGAGATAAGATTCACATGGCTGTGATCTTACAGCCTGGGGTGGTCACCACATCGGTAAATAAACGAGAATCGGGATCTTTACGATGGCTGCCGCATTGCAGCTGCACAGCACTGGGCTATGGTCAAAGCTTCGGACTCTTTGATACTCTGTGGCTTAGGCAAAATGCACCAGTGTCATGCGCCGTCCCCAAATTTTACAGCTTGGCAGCCCGGCTCGCTGACTCAGATATACACAGTGGAATACCAACGGGACTCTGTAGGCGGCTTTCATGCAGCTTGGCATGCACCCAGAAAGTGGCATGGTGCTTCAGGACCGGCGACCGTCGACTTTCCTGCCAGTGCAATAGGTCACTCTGTAAACTGCTAACTGTCGCAGAAACCCTGCCCGCACATGTCTAAGAATCTTTCGTCTTCATTTGCTCACCAACATTCACAAAACAGGTTAGGCTGGAACACCGCTCATATTTTTCGCGCGCTCAGCTGAACCTCGAATGCAGCATGCTGCGCTGAAGGCAGTGCAGTAGTGGCCACCTCTGATGTCGGTCGGCTCCGGCGTCCTGCAGCTGATCTCCACTGATTCTTAGAGCCATAGGCCATAGGCGATTGCCACATTCAGGCCTGTTTGATTCTCCGTCACGGGGTTTGCAGAGATTCGACATTCGCTGGAAACTTTTCCTCCCCTCTGCAATGGTGCTTCGGAGCTTGGCGAGCGCCGGATTTTGGCCTGAACCTGATCCCAAGCATCATGCGTGCCAGCACAGAGCACCTGCTGCAAACGTCTCCAACTTCAAGACACCGGCGGCGCAAACAGTCTCAAAAGCGCAGATCTCCATTACAGGTGCGCCCAAACCTTCAGAGCCTCCTCAGCTAGGGTTGCGCGCTTTGCACAAACGACGTTGTACTGCGTGAACCGCCTTGTAGCCTTCACCAAAGTCTTCGAATGCAGGCAGCCAGTCAAGCGCACCAGGAATCTGCCCTTCTGCTTAGCTGCCTCAATGAAGCAGCTGTACCCAAGATCATCCAAGGTGGCCACCATCCAGGAGATATCGAAATCTTTCCAAGCATCTTTGGGATCGTTGTTTGCTTCGAAATGCACGAAGCCGACTTTGTCAGACTTCAACGTGGACATGGCCCCCTGGAGAACCAAGGGCTCTGCACCTTCCACATCAATCTTCAATACATCAATGAAACGAAGAGCTTCCTGGACGACGAATGCATCAAGCTTCATCGCCTTCACTGTCACCGGAGTTCCCTTATGCATGCTGCAGGTTTCCATAGCATCACAGTCGCCAAACTGAACTGTGCCGGTGAAATTGGTGAAGGCTAGATTATGAAAGTGCATTCCAGCCATGGACGTGGGGGACGCTAGCTGCATTGCCTGCGTCGTGCGGCTTAACGTCGTGGGTGAACCATCAATGCAGTGGACAACGGGCGTCACTGTGCCGTGGGCACCTTTTGGCACCTTCAAAGGCTTCTGCTTGCAATCCTGGCAAACCCCACAGAATTTGGGTGTTCCCAGCTTCTGATGGGCCTGACCAAGTGATTGCTGATTTAGCGAAGCACGAGGCTGCCATCGCTCGAACACCCGAGCAGAGGAATATCCCTTATTGCAACCAATATCAACCACGACTGCGGCCCTGCTCTGCTGTTCTGGTGCCAGATAACTCCGGAGCCAAGACCAGCTGGCTTCTGCACAAATCCCAAAATACCCAGACAAAAATCTTGCCTGCGCATCGCAACGCTTGGCCGGGAAGGGCTTGGTTTTGGCAGCTGGATCAGTCCATCCTGCTGCCGCATCCGTGGTAGAGGAGCCGTCTCTGTCGAGCTCATCGGTCGCCGTAGTGCTCTGCGCAGGCTCACCTTGTACAGGTTCCCGCTGCAGCGTGTCATTACTGTCAATGAGATCTTTTTGCGCATCCGGGACCACTTCTGGACCCCCCGGATTCCGACCCGGTGAGCCTGAGGCGGCAATCTTCTGCGGGCGAGCAGCGGGCACTGCCAACATGCCCCGCGAAGTCCACCCGATCACGGCACCCAGGGCCAGCCCCACAGCCATGCCACCATAGCGGGAGAAGCTGGTTCTACAGGCTGATGGAGCAGCCATCTCGCTAGCTATTTCCCAACCTGCCTAACAAGGCTCTCGAGAGATGCCAATGCTTCAACACAGGCTCCTGGTATCTGAAGTCTTTTCCCAGCAGCTGACATCAAGCTAGCAACTGAAGAGCACTCACCAACAACTGTGTAAATTTTCAACACCTAGCAATGCCAAAGTGGAGCTGCACTGGATGTGCCTGCTCGGCCGTGTAGCACGAAGAACCCACGAAGCTAAACAAGAGGACCGAGTAGATCTGGCGGAGCCAACCTTCCACAGGGCAGCCGGAAGCCTCAATCTCCGAAGCCCATCGCTGCTTTCGGGGACATATCAAACCAGAAGATGCCACCAGGGCTAATTATTGTTGTGAACAGCGATTACTGATCATTCTTCTTTTCTTAATGGCAAGCTCTACTCCGTGTTCTTAGGAGGGTTGTCTCGGTGGTCAAACTCAAATTTTGCGTCGTCACTTACTTGCGAGTAATTCGTGCTGCCGGGAAAGGAACTTCGGTTCAAGTGAGTTGGGAGGGCTGATCAACTCCTTCAGGACTGCTGCGATCCCTTCCTATGCTCCTCAACGTGCGCACCGGAGTTTAGTGGCCGGCATGCTTCGG